TCCACCGATCTTCCCAGGTCGCACCGGCCCAGGCATCGCACTCGGCGAAGGCGGTGGCAAAGTTCGCGAGGTCGTCCAACTGGGCTGTGGGGCTGTAAGGCCCAGTAGTAGAGGGGGTATGCGACGCGTTGTCCAGGTGGTTTTGGGCGGGTTCTGGACATGAAGAAGGAACCCAAAACAACAAGTTCTGGTCATCTTCTGGCGGAGACTCAATTTTTTTCGGCGGAGACTCGGCTTTTGTGTTGACAGCCGAAACCCAACGGTTCGTGAGAACTTGCTCGTCCCCCACTTGGGGTCTCTGACCCCGTTTCTGTGCCGTGTTTTCTCGTTTGATGGGACTCAATCACCGTCTTCACTCCACCAATGCTGAACATCGCTGATCCTAAGACCAAAAACACACACACCTCCTAAGATCTCCAAATTATAAGTCTGGTGTATACATCCCAACACAGGTCACGCCTCGCGCCGTCCCACCCCGTCGTGGCGGTCCCCGGTCCCCCCGCCGAGGTCGACCGGGGTCCCCCGACATCTCCGTAGAAGCGAGGTGCCTCCGTCGGTCCGTCGAGTCGGTGCCCGGTGGAAGATCAGCTCAGCTGGATGAAGGCCGGCGCCATGTGAACGACTCCCCTTCACACCTCAAAGAAACATCCACCTAATATAGGACCTATAGGAGCAATCTGCCATCTGTGGTTGATGCCTATATAGTGCTTGTTTGGTGTTGTTTTCCTTGTTTATGAAGGGGCAAGCGGCAGGAGTAAAAGACATGGGTTTCGCGAGTCATTTGTTTGCTTCGTGGAAGAACCCCAGTCACGAAGTAAACACTTGATGGCCTGACCAACTGACTCACATCCAGTCTGGGATGCCTTCCAAATTCACCGGAGGCAGCAACCCGTGCGATCTATAGTTCTCTCTGTCTGGAGCGTCACTGATGTGAGCGGTGAACGCAAAAAGGACTGGCTCTGTAAGGACTAGACCAGTGGTTCGTTGGACGGAGAAACTTGTGGGAAACACTTGCAAAACACTTTGCAACTCACATAAAGAACCCAAACTGGGAAAAGTGACCTGGTTGTAAGTTGCTCTCCACTATTTGACTCAGGAAGCTGAGCATCAACAACAAAAAAAACAAAATACCTTCCATGTTTGTCAAACTTCCGGATCGGTAATCTCTAGTGCTATGTTATAAGTTAAAACTTGTAGGAGCAGCAACCCATCCACGGGTTCCATGTTAGCTGAACACTGTTGGGGAAGGACACCTTAGCTACATGTACAGGCCTGGATGAAATGATCTTTGCCTTCCACGTTAGGGTGATTCCATGTCCGATCGCTTACACTAACCTGGCTGGTAGAACATCGAGGTTATGTTCGGACACACTTTTGAGTTCTTACGTTCTAAGTTAAAATAGAAAAGTGTGAATGTTTGCCCTCAAGCCTAAAGTAATTAGATACATACGTGTGATTACAGTACTCCATATACTTTCCAAAGCTACAGGCCGTCGTAGGGTGCCCAAGACAGACATGCGTGCTGTTTCCCAACGAAAACGAACCTTCGCCGTGCTGTTTCCATGGACTTCCCAGTTTCCCCGTCTCTAAGGATCGAAGCATTGGTGAAAATCCAGGCGAGGAAGATCTGAGGATCCGTGTTGGACTTCTCCATGACTTCCTCCCGAGCTCGGAAGTCCAACTCCCAACCGCCCGAGAGACCGAGCTTGAAATCGACGTACGTGACCTCGACCGACGAAAGACACCGAGCTCGCGAGACGAGACGAGACGAGCAGAACGTGGCCGGTCAGGTCCCAAAGTCCATGTGGCGGGTCCGTTCCAAAAGCCAGTGCCACGAAAGAAACAAGTGCCACACGAGGCAAAAGCAGTGATTGGTGTTCCAAGGTCCAAGCAACATGAAGAGGTCAACCTCATATGCTGTGGGTCCAGGTTTTGACCACCACCGTGTTTTGCAACAGTGGTACTGGCTATATTATAAATATTGGTAGACCCTCCCAACTATCCTACTGATACTGCCAATTTGCCTTTCTTTAGCTGTTTCTTTAGCCAATTTGGCTGCGTGAGGAGGACAAATACTATCGATCTAACAATTGCACATGAGCGATAGCAGTGCCAACTTTCAATTGTGTTGTTTGCCCCAACAAAGTAGCGGCTGGCTTAGAGGGCTGCACTGATCGTGGATTCGTCTCGCCGCATTCAATTGTGTCCGCACATCTGGGATCGTTTCAAACTCTCAAAACCTTCTACCTGCGCTACCTCATTTGTTGAGAGATGATAGGAACAATCAAGAACCAATTCTCAGCCACCCTTTGGGTTTACACCCTGCACTCCTGTGAAGCTTGGCCTTGTGAAGCCCTGCAAATACCATCACTTCAGTCCCGGTCATGGGCACTCCAGCCTATACCTCTGTGTCTAAGCGACCTGGATCGACCATACCTGCTCAGGGTCCCCCACGTAGATGAATCAAACCAATGACCAAACTGGGTTTCTGGGACCGATTGTAGTGGTAGATTGCTTAACAGCCCAAAGATGGCGGGACTTCTATCACTTCATGATATAATAACATCAAATAACCCATGATCTTGCTTTGCCCACAGGAAGAATTGCCATGTAAGCAGCTTCCTGCGCAACGTGTGTGGCGACTGCAGGTGTTGCAATTTGTCGCGCCTCTGGCACATAGTACAAGGGAGGCCGTTGAGCCTGCACCAAACAGGGTTGGCAACACATAGAACATTCGGATGGTCGTTGGGATCTCTCGTCTCCCAACGACCTGATGGAAGGTCTTAGGCCGTCCATTCTGAACGGAATGTCTGGCACTTCTTGGGACCCAAGTTGTGGAAACAACAATGAAGCACAGTGACAACAATCAACCATGGACCATCTTTGTGGGATCAAGACTCTGGGCTTGACTTGCCAAACACTAGGATTTGATAAATTTGATCTGAGGATCCTTCTGGAGGATCTTGCTAAAAAGCGGAGATCCAACATCCTGCCTTCGGCACCAGCAGCTCATGAGGCAGTTGCTCCGGCAAGGGCCCTCGCACTGCAAACGTTCGCGTTGTTTGGCAGAGGAGGGAGGATTGCCGGTGTGTTAGTGGGACACGGAAAAACAAACAAACACTTTTCTGAATGAATGAGCGGCCCTAAATCACCCATCGAGCAACTTTGACATGTTGCGTCAACATGTGTCAGCACATCCACAGCACATCCACTCATTCACTTGGGTGAAAAGGAACAACTGATCAACAATGGTGTCTGCTATGGTGTCCCCATCTTCATCGCTCTACCAGTGGTTTCAGAGTAGATAGCAACACTCAACATGATCTGACTGCTTGGTCTATATGTCCATATAAACCACTTAACTTGGACATGTGTGCCATCTACTCTCAATCCACTATATGACATGTTTAAAAAAAAACACCTTAACATTGTGATGCTGTCCACCCCTCCAGGTTTGAGCTGCGTGTAACGGCACGGCGCGCTTTTTCGCCACGCGCCGGGCACGAGGCCGTGGACATTCCGCGAACGAGGCAAGGCATCGAAGGGCAGAAAGGGATGCAATTGGTCTCACCTCCGCATAGTAGCTACATGGGTCTCGGTCTGGATCAATATTCCAGCTCCTGTTTGGATCTTTGGACCAATAGGCCAGGCGTCCAGCTTCTATTGTTTGTGCATCTCTTGAAGAGGCGCCATCTGGCTAAAAGGGTATGTACATCGTACTGGTCCACCTTACTGTGTGGGCATGCCGGATATGGTCAAGGCCAAAACAATAGTAGTCATATCTTCAGTGGGTCGACCATGTCTTACGTACGATCATATCTGCCAACTATATGGATTCCGAACCAAGCACGCACGGAGAAAACTCTGGCTTCAATCACCCACCACCAGACTTTTCTGGATCCCAGTGGGATCCAACTGCGGACACATGGGGACACATGGCGGGCTGCCTTGCGCATCATTATTCGATTCACGTTTCGTCCACAATGCCAAAGTCTTGACAAATCTTCGCTGAAAAAGCTGTCGTCCTGGATCTGCGAGAAGGATGCCTTGCCAATTCCGAGAGAATGCGACAAACCCCCCTGCCATCCCGTGCCGCACGCGGTGGCCGCACGCGGTGGCGGCACGTTCCGGTTCGGGGATCACCTTGGAGGAGGGTGTCCAAAGACATTCTCTTTGTACATGCCAGGGTTTCCAAGTGAAAGGCCACAGGGCGAGCGATTCATCTGCAACTTAGATATCAACTTGTAGAGTCAAATGATGTTAAATGTTCATTATTGTTTGCCAATTGGCGATGTTTAAAGCAGGAACCAAGTTGCTTTCTGCGTTCTTTATTGGCCGTGTGACCCAAAGTCTGGACACCGCTGGCGGTCACTACATGGGGATGGATCCGGATGTTTTCCTTTTTCCACGAACCAAAAAAGGAGTCCAAACCGGGTCCACCATGGTCCACCATGCGTAGCAAGTTGTTTGCGACGGTCAGTCTGCTTCGACGAACAGCATCTGCTGACGCTGACGCGCCGTGCGTCCCGAGCGACGCAATCGTTGCGAGACCGTCAATCGGGGCGAAGCAATGGTCGAACGGACTCGTTCGGTGTGTTCGGTTGAGCCACAATGGGGCCCTTTCTTGGAGTGAATGAAAGATCATCTCATGGACATATTTCTATTATTTTTGCCATTCCGAGATTCCTACCAGTTTCTCTTTGTAACATACCTTTCCTATCTGCACCACAGTACAACACGTTAGGGCCTACAAATTGGCATCAACACATAATATAATATATATAATATGTATATATATACACACTGATTCAAGAATGAGCATCGCCTTGCTCAACAGTCTCTGCAACTCTGGACATTGAGAGTTGATTGATTCTTGCTCATGGACTAGGAGGTTGTACCAATACTCAGCTGCCATGCAGCAGTTGGGCAAAATCCACACCAACTGCCAACCAAAACAGACTTCGAGTACCACAGTTGTTCTGACAAGCAAATCATGTAAAGCATCATGCTGAGCATTGGCAGAATCCTGCGGTTGATTCATCTCAGTCACTTGATTTCTGGCCTTTTTCTCAAGGTCTTGCGAAAAAAGCGCTCAAATTCAGTGACCAATTCCTCGGTGCTTGATTACAAGTTCACAGGCAACCTGTTTTTGGTATTTGATTGAACCTAACATCAAGTGATGTCACCAAGTCACCAGTCAACTCAAATCACCCAGGTGAGGACAACAAACCAACTTCTGACTCATGACAACAAACCCGGCAAGCCAGTGAAGCTCAAACACCAGAATTGGTGCCGGTGCATGGCATGTCAAACCCCATGGCATGAGTCCCTAATGGCATGTGGAACGACCGGCTTCTGCGGACCATCTAGAGCTAAAGAGCTAAAGAGGATAAACTCAATGGTATGTTGATAGATGTTGTACGCAGGTTCTCTTGTTTAAAAACTAAACTGACCCGAAAATGATCTCAGAACATCTCCGAAAAGGTGCAAAACATCATGCACCATGTGGTCATGCAGCCTTAAGCTCTCACAAGGAACCTCTCCAACACATGACTACAGTACTCTTTAACGAACCAGTAGGTACCATTCCCTTTTCACTTCACGCGTTTCCGAGCACGTTGGCGTGTTCATGCCCAGCATCTGCGGGTGGTGCAGGCAGCCTGTGAAAGTGGTCAAACCATGTAGATGGAAAACACGTCAAAACCATATGATGCAACTGTTGTTCCATGAAGGAAACTGAAGACATGCAAGACATGTGGACACCTGGCCAAAGATGTGTATATAATATACATACTATCAAAAATCATTTATATACATAGTATTAAAACCAGCGGTAACCAGCAGTTCCTGGGACGTCCCTCTAGATGGAGACAAACAGAAAAGAATCACTGGCGTTCAAGGCCACCTTCCCAAGCATCCTTTCAATGTTCGTTGGACTGCGTTTGGCTGGCCTTTGTTTGGAGAACGCTCCAGCAGCTCCTTTTCGTCTACATCTATACATCGTGACCAAAAAAAAGGAACGCATTCAAACTGAACCCCAAATTCAACGCCCCACACTGCCCAAACCTCCCAATACCTCCGAATCAGCATATCAGCGGCGCCTGCACCACGATGAGCTTTTCAGCGGAAAAACTCCATTCCAAGGCCAAATCAGGGTGGTAGGCTGCCACCCTAGGCTCGAATCGGACAAGGGCCCCAACGCTTGGACATAAGGACGGGGAAAAGGTTTGAAAACATCATTGTCCAACAAGGCAGGGACCTTGCCCAATGGGTTGGCGGGACTCAACCTTCATCGGACGAGGTCGGACGACTGGTGTGGTCTTAAACTCGCAAGGTCACAAACCAAGCATATATATATAATTCTGTATAAATTCTTTATATACTACATATGCCCCCCCAAAAAAACTTTTGAATGGCTATCATATTGCAATTTTCAATGTACAAGTATCCCCTCAGGAGATCAAGGTCACCTGATTGAATTATAGAGAAACCAATGACCACCGGTGGGGGAAATAAGGACCACTGGCACACTGGTGGCGGAGGTTGCTTACACGATCAGCACAAAGAAGAAAAACATCTCTGCGATCATATGGGGATGGGTCAAAACCTGGAGCCCTGTTCCACCATGTAGCTTGACCTTCCAGGTAGGTCAACCACAAGGCATTGTGGCTCAGGCCTTCACGCCGGCATGCCTGTCACTTCCCTTTTGGGGAGTGCGAACTGAGCCATGACATTATCCACGTCGATATGCTCCAGCCATGAGATGATCATAGCAGAGACCATGGAGTGTGTTTGACTTATTTAGTGCTGACATCCGCTAAGTTTCCAGAAGTCTGTCAGCAGAGTGGGAAGAGGAGACATTATTCTATGTTTGGGAGTTCTTGGAGCCAAGCTGGTATAGTCTTTTTGCTTGGCCGAGTTTTTCGATTTGGAAATCGACTCACTCCACGTTCAGGAGGGTCTACGGAGGTTGCCAATGCCAACGTTGGCTTTTACCGAAAATTGCGCTCTGAAAGTCATGTTTGATGGCCAATGTTTTGAAGACTCTTTTGGTGACTTGCGAAGTCCCATTGTGGCCAAAAGGCGGCCTGAGCCAATGACTGCTTCATGTTGATATTTCGTCATAGCGAAAGCCGCCGTGGCGAGTGAGTTGATGATCCTGCCTTTTCGCCTTTTCCTTCGCTGCATACGATCCAGTCGCTGCGTGAAGCTCAGGTGTACAGACTTTCTCTCTGTCTGTAAGCTTACCATTGTGGGCATCTGGTAGCAGTTAATTTAGTCTTGCCTGGGTAGATTCTCACTTACTTATCTCCGCTCGATCCAAAATGGATCTTGCTTCTTTGCAGGTTTCACTTGTCATTGAGTTTTCTTCAACAACTTTGATACTGTGCGAAACTTTTCATATTGCATCATGTTGCTATTTGTTGTACGGTTTTCGTGTGCCACCACATCGAGCCCACACTCCCACGTGCCCAGCAAAGCTGAAGGGTATCCTGGTGAAGCAAACAAACAGTCGCAAGTCTCCTGGTGCCAGTCTCCCCACAGCCAAAAACCGGAGGAGCCAAGCCGCCAAATGACCCTACGCTGCAGCAGTTGTGGATGAAACTCAGGAAACCTTCGCCTTAGGCGACGCACCGAGGAAGAAAGGGTCGGCGAGTCGGCTCTATTGCTAATCCCATCCACCCATTAAAGGACTAAACCCTATGCATATATATATATTTTTTTTTATGAGCTTCCAACATACATAGGTACTCATGATTATAACAAGAGAGGTTATTCCATGAGTTTCTTGATCCACAAACTGTGAGCATGTGTTTGGTCATTCCCACTTTTTGACATGCTGAGCCAAAACGATGTGCTGTCATTAAAACAAGAAATGAATTTGATGGCCTGAAGGTCTTCCCAAAAGTTGGGAGGGTTGTCGTGTTTTTGACCACTCCCCTATGTCTCAAAAACAAGAGAAACCTCTTCAAATGCTGAGAACCCCTGGATGCATGTGGACTGTAAAAAAAAACAATTAAAATAACGCAAACCTCTTTTGTGTAACTCGACCTCACGGCCGGAGGAATTACAGTGACCAAAAAAATGCGCGACCAAAAATGGTGCACCAAAGCACCAAAGGGCCTGACGACCTGGAGATCACCAAAAAAGAAGAACACATGATCGACCTGGAAAGGTATAGAGAAAAGAACTCTTACACAGTGCAGGGGACGGATTCGTCCTGCAGCCATGAGTCTGCAAGGTTTCTCGTAGCTCTGGGAGGCTCATCGGGAAACTGCCTGGGGCGGTGGGCTCAAGTGCGGAACATGGAATGAACCAGACTGACTGGTGCTTATAGTAGGGAATGAGGGAATGAACCAGCCCAGGCCTGGCCCCTATTCCTTACGAGTCGCACCAGTCAGCAGAGTGGACCATGCAGAGTGGTGACTCTCAGTCCGTCCGTTCCTGTACATTGTGCGGTGCCGGTGTGGGCCGCTGAAGGCATTACTTCGGGCGGTGAGGGCAGGGAAACCAGCTACAATCTGGAGAGTGGTCCGACCGAATTTTAAACGGTATCTTATTGAGTTCTTTTGCTAGGTAGAAGGGTTTTTGATGGTTTTTGATTTCGATTCCAGGCTGGTTTTGTTCCTCATCTTCGATGCTCCACGGTGCTTTGAAAACGACTCCACAAGTGGAGGTTCTCCAGCCTTGCACCAAGAGGAGCCGCATCGCATAGCCGAGGAGGTAGTCCTGGCAGGCAGGATCTGGTACAAGTCTGGACACATTGGGGAGCAAAAAATGAATCTGTTGAGCTGTGCCACCGTGCTTTTATGTGATGCTTTGGTGTTTGAAATTTGGTGTTTTGGTGGAAGTGACCAAAACAGCAACCTGTCACAGGCTTGAGGTTAGAACGAAAGCGCAGCGAACATGAAGCAGAGCAAGAAGGGCACGCCCCAGTTCACCAAAACAGCTGAAAACAACAATTGAATGTGTATTTATATAAATAGGAAGACCTCCCAAACACCCCTGGAAGGTTCGCAAATAGACCAGTCCACCGATTGGGGGTCCGTTAAAGTAGCGAACCAATATGAACCAACCGAACAGGCCAACGAAATCATCCATCTCACAGCCAACCGAACACCGTGACCGCCTTCATTCGCTTCGATGGTCCGCTCGGACTCTAAGCGTCGTTGAAGCGAACCAAACTTCTCACCCCGGTGGGACCAGGTCCCCAGGTCAACACACCCCGTGTCGAACCGGCCTCTTCCTGGGCATCATACGACTTCCGCAACGCACCGCTGACGAGTTGCCCCACCACGGCACCATCCGTCACCTGCATCAAATTGCTGCGGTCGGGCTCCGGAAGTTTACTTCGCCCTCAAAACACGTCTCTTCTGTTGGCCAGTCGGTGCCAATCACGTGCACGTTGGTCGAAAGAGTTGGACGACATCTTGAGTCGGATGAGTCAAACATGCCGAGTGTGATGGTGTGATGGACGTTTTCTGGGTGAGAACGACTGGACCGAGAAAAGAAGGCTCAGTGACTGAGGGACGCAGAAGCTCTGCCTCGATCTTTGACAAGGCGAAATCGCACAAGCTTCCCAACAGATTCATACAAGTTCACTGAATCGAATCCTTTTTTGATTCTTCTGTGGAAGCTCTGCGGCCACGACTCAGATCGAGCTTGCCTTGCTTTTGAAATCATTCACCGTTTCAGATCGAGATCCGTGCCTTCGGCGCCTTCGGTAGATGAATCACCACCTTTGGCACAGAGCAGACTGAGCCTGGGAGCCCGATCTTAGAATCCAGTCAGATTCAAAAATCCATTCTTACATGTCGGTTCCTGCCTTGAAAACCAATATATCACTTGGAACGGGGAAAGCTACGACATTTCCTACATGTATGCAACATGTTGTTTCCGTCAACAGTAGTTGCAAGTGAGGCTCCTCTTGATCTTTCGAGTGATTTCTCTGAGGGTGTAGTCTGGCTTCCCAAGCCGGCGCACAGGAAACAGAATGGCAACTAGGCACATTGACATGTTCTTTTTCTCATTCGCTTGGAATGGTAGTGGGACCCTAGACGTTTGACCTGTTTCCTTCACATTAAGGGCATTCTTTGCCGTTCGATGGATTTGAGTGATCCCTAGATATCTTATTGACCCGTATAAAGCACCTTTCTTGCTCGGTTCAAGGTGTTTCAAGCCACCTGAGTTTTTGCTTCCCCATAGAATGTTATACAGTAGGTTATATATTATATAGTACGATTATATATTATATAATACAAATTATAGTACACTATAATACACTAGGTCGACCATTCTAAACGCTGCCAATCAATTGCCAGTCTCATCCATTCACACTGCTTCCCACGGTGACGGCACTTCCGCGGCGCAGCGCGGTCTTCCGCCCTCTGCGCGCCTCGGTCTCTTCTTCCTCAGCCTCCTCCGCTCGGGTGGTGCGATGGACCGAAACGGACGGAGAGGGGTTCGGAGAGACTGCCTGGCCGTGCCTGGCCTGCAGACTCCCATTTTGGACATCAGGATGGGGTCTTAATCTCCAAGCGAGCTGTGTGGTCACACGCGCGAGTGACCTGGACCCTGCGCGATCCTGGAAGTTACACTTGATCGGCTGAATCAAGTCTAACATCACATTGAAAGCCGCTCGAGGTCACCAAACAGTAGGAGTCGTGCCGGAATCTACTCAACAGCTTTCCTGGACAAGCACCCACTTCTGGCCAACAAAAACTTATACAGTAAGATCTATCCAGTTCTCCAACAACCGTTCCAGAACTTCTGTTAGTGTCCGTTTGTGAGCCAGTGTCCGATGCCCATTCGCCTCCTCCCCACTCAGGAACATGCCCACTGAGCGCAGCATGGCTCGGCGAAGATCGCTGTGTTCATCCTGGACGAAGCAAGGGTGGCAAATTTCCGGTCGTCTTCTTAAAGCAGGTCCTCAACATCCCGGGGCAATGGAGGTTCATCAAGGATCCTGTGCTTCTCCCTTCCTTCTCCCTACCCAGCTCTGGTGGTGGATGGCTGGGCCTATATACTGCTGCAAGATCCTCCTTGTACGTCGGTTCGACGATCTGCACTTCGCGGTAGTCTTCGGGGTGTGCAGGTGATCATTGGTCAGCTCGACTCTACTGGATTGGTCGAAACCAAATACGCCACATTAGGACTCGACCCACTCGAACCTGGACAAAACGTACTACTCGCATGATGATCCACAGCGAGGGGAACAAACATCAATGGGTGAATAAATCCAGTGATTTCCAGGTGAGGGGTTGTGTACCCACAAAAGAACACCTAGCAAAACGGTGTCACCTGTCAACATCACAAGGACTTGGTGTCATTTCTGCATGGCAGTCTCTTTGGTGAGGCCTGGGGTGCTCCTGCAAGAATCTCTCTATATCTCTCTGATATGTCCAAATTTGTCCAAATATACCCAGCAAAATGCAGCTTTCCAGCAGCTACTGCAACTATAACTACAACCTCAATGAAACCTGTGGCCTCACCGGCCGCAGTTGCCCAGGCCCACTGCGGCCCCAAGAAGCATCCCCGAGCTTGTCAGGTCTCGCGCCTCTTCCGGCGGCAAGTCCTGCAGTTGGTTCAACAAGCGCAATTCATGTGAGCACGAGTCTTCCGGCGCCGTCTGCACCTCCTGGTGGGCTCAAAGAGTCGAGTGGCTTGGGAGTGGCACGTGGGGTCTGTCTGGCAAACTTGAACTGAATGGACGATATCAAGCGGCCATACGATATCTCATGTCTCGTCAGATCCTCAAATGCTCCATACTTGGGTTCAACTCGGAGTGGGACCCCAAACCTCCACGGTCAGGGCCAGAAATCCAGTAAGCATGAGAAACATACAGTATATTACAATGCATCTAGACTCTATTCACCAATAGTCGTTTCAAAAAGCCGAGCGCCTTTCAGGAGAAAGACTCTTCCATGTTTGGGAGCTTCGCCAGTACCGGGGCTGATAGGCTCGGGATCTTCAAGCAGAATGGACCAAACGAAGCATCAAACATGTACGATGCTAACCTTCGCGTCGATTCCATCAGTATTGACACCCCCTTTTATGTATAACCTACGTAGTCGACAAATCAAAATCAGTTTCGATTCATCTCTGGGTCGGTTGCACCCATGGATTCTCATAAATCTCATGTCCAAATCACCACTGCGGTTTCCACTCACATGAAGAATCTGAAGAGCAAAAACCATTGAGTTTCATCATCCCAGTGTAGAGGTTTCAAACATTGGAAAATGCCCAAGTAAAAACCAAGCAACATTTGAGAAACACAGCCACATACAACCACCAACTCTCACCAACCCCATTCGTTACCCGCCATGTCAACCATGACTGCCAGATTGTTTTTATGCCCCGCTCCTGTGTGCCAGACCACTCGGGGGCCGGTCGCATCGGTGGCTAGCGGCAATCGCAGCGCCTGAGAATGCGGAGGATGAGGAGTCAGTCGTCCTCATCCTCTTGGTCAAAAACACTACTTACAGTACGGAGGAAATCACCACGTTTTACTGGGTCAGACTGGACGTATGTATGGTAGTACATGTATGCAACTCTCAATTTGTGACGGTCAATCAAAGACGGTACCAACCAATACACTCATGATTTTGTTGCACTGACATAGACTCTAACATTAATTAAGGCCTTAATGCAGGGTTTCGGTGCCAATGCGCTACCTCCCAAGCTCTTCACCATCCAGGGATGATTCTGGGATGACTTACAACAGTGAAGTCCTTAACCTCTCATCCCTAGGGCTTCAACTACCTGCTGAGAAGGTGGTTGGGGTGGGTTTTGGTGGTCTAACCACCTTCTGAGGATATGGTTGGAGGCTTAGGGCATGTAATCTCCCGCTACCACGCTCACAAACCGCGCAACCCGCCTCCACCACGAGGACCGCCGCTGTCGTGAGCGAAACGGCCACGAGCCAATGGCTGCAGCTTTCTTCCGCTCGATGTGGATTTGTCGTGTGAAAAGCCCTTTCGACCTATCGCTTCCACGGGGTGCCCAATGGAGACCTGTAAGTGTGGAGATGTCCATTGGTGACCCCTTGGAAACTGGACACCACAGGTATTCCACTAGGACACAAACGGTCTTCTTCGGGGGGCACATCTTTTAACAGTTAATAAGCTTTACTTGCATCCCCCTGCACGTCTTTCTGTGTCCGCTTACGGAAAATCCCCACTGTTTCTTGTTGAACTGTTGGAGAGAAGGAGTAATAGTGGTTTCTGGGTCCGTGAAGCAGGGCATGAGGAGCTACATGTGCCAGGTACCAGTAGGCTTCTATTAATATACATGGTGACTTCTCGGGAACCGACATGCCTATGTGTAGTATTTGAGTCTATCCCATTACCTGTAACAGTGGATGATGATGGTTAGTAGAGGCCTTATCCAAAAATAGTGAATAAGTGTCGACTGAACAGATAATTGGACAGACCCAATGTAGTAAGATTGCAACATCATATTATTGCAAAGCTACGTATTTACGTTTGGGTCTCAAAACGGTAGATCCCACGAACACGCTCCAGAGCCTTTGACACCCCACAACAAACGCATACTGACCACTTGGCTGTGGGTCAAAACCAGGGGATGCTGGTTGACCTTCGAAAATCAACAGAATAGAATACCTGGGTCAACCTACCAGTGAAACGGGCTAGAGGCCCGGGTGAATCCTAGCTTCCATAATTCTGATATGGAAGGTCCCAAACAAACTCGTTCTGGTCGTCCGATCCTCCTCTTGGCACAACCTGCCTGAGGAGGCACTCCGGGTGAGCTTCTTCCGCTTCGCTGGAGGACCTCCATTGTTGGAAAGCTAAGTTGGCATGCTACACAACTGTGATGATAACCGAAGGAATACTGTACCACCACGGTGAATGCACCGATAGGACAAGACTACTAGACCACTACACATGTTCGAAAAGACTACATAAGTATTTGGCAGCTTCCTTCATGTTCAGCTCCATGTGAGAAAATCATACGTCAGGCATTGCAACTTCCGAAGTATGACCAGACCACCTTCTTTCTTGTTACGGAGATGGCTTATTTGCAATTGTTTGACCACCTATATAAGTACAAGTTCGCACCACGAGTGGTGGTTTTGCGAAACATATAATCCTGTTTCCGCCGAGTTTTATGGAAGAAATGTCACATGTCCCATCATGTCCTGGTTGCGTTTTGGAACAGAACGTTGTTGTTCTGATCAGTGCACCAAAGTCTTCCGGGTTTTTCACCAGCCAGCATTATTCTGAAACCGCGTCAGCACCTGTTTGTTCTGGGGGGATGTATACTTTTTTGGTGCACCGGTGCACACAAACAACAAGAACAAATTCTATGAACATCTACAAGAGATTCTACCCTAAGAATCATTGGACCCTCTATGGAGGGTTTTGACCCTGCATAGCAGGGGGTTGGACCCTCACAACCTTCACCTTTGAGGGTCCTTGATTCTTAGGGTAGAAACAAGATGCTTCAGCTCACCACCTACCTGCCCAAATGCATAACCATCCTCAAGTAATGCTTCATGTAGCACTCTTCCAACGTATGACCAGAGCTTCCTTGGAGCTGGGTGAATGAACACTTCCCATGGCAATCACTAGCAGCATAGCGACGCTCGCTCATGGATTCCCCAGCCAAGGTCTCCATCCAAATTGTTGAGGTGAAAGACCGTGTGGACCGTGGGTAAATGCGCCCGTTACCATCCAAACTAGTGGAGAATGATGTGCGAGCATGTGCGAGGCCTTTTCATGGCCTCATGTCTTCCATAAATGTGGAAAAAGCGTTGCCACAAAGAAATACAAAGAATGGGTCTTGGATGGTCTTGGGAAGTGTCGAAGTCACGGGTACCACATGTAAGTCGCTGTAAGTCTAGTCCCTCCGGCCTAGACCACTGCCAGAATCCGCATCTGCAAACAAGCCGAGAATGGAGATGGCTGAGGTGGAAACAATATGTGGTGGTTGGTCCTTGTAGTAGAATTGTGATATCGTTGGAAGGTTCACTGAACATATCTGAACATCCTCTATATGTATATGTCTATGTGTTGATGCCAACATTAAATTATTTACCGTCTGGTCACGAGTTCACTACTCACTACTCACCACTCGATGTTCAGGCAAAAGCCGTGCAGTTACTTGGTCGAAATGCACGCCAGACCGGGTGACACATCTTCCTAGCCAAACCCGCAGTTGAAGGTGCGGCAGCCGTGTGGAAAAACATCAGAGGTCTGCGCGTTGCCTTTGCAGACTGCGAGACCAAACGGCCAAATGTTACAAGCTGCGTTTTGATGCACTCTGGAAAATGTAGACTGTTGATGAGAGGTAAGAATTGTTTTTTTCACACAATCCATTTCAATTGGTGGGTGTTGATTAATCTATATATATATATATATAGTCTAAATTGCAATTTATTGACATACAATACCTAGATCTTCAGTCCGGCACCTTTACAGGGTCCGGCGCCGGACTTCCAACTCCGGCGTTTTTCTGGATTTGGTCCGGCGCTTTTTCCAAGTCACTTTATGTGGATTCTCAAGGCTTTGTGGTCTGCATTTCTTTGAAGTTAAACCCACTACTGATGCAATGATTTTGTTTGCAAAGTGTGCTCGTTTGCCTGTTCCGCTGTTTTCTCATTCCACCGGTTTCAGCATGGTTCACACTGGATCAATCAGATCCGTTTAGCTGATCTTCTAAATGAAATCGGATGAAGCCGGTACAGTGCGATGCACCTGTTGAAAGACCCAAGTGGGTGCACCTAAGCTGAAAGAGCATAGGCAAAAATGTACAGTACTCCCATTGTTTCAGGATGTCGGGGCGCTGGGATATAGTTCTAGCTGCGCAGGTTTGCAGAGCCTGCCGGACACGTTTTGGGCTGTGGAACATGTGTTGTTCAG